CACACACACACACACACACACACACACACACACACACACACACACACACACACACAAATTCAAATGCTCTTTGACAAAGATGGAAGCAATGTAGGCTACGTAGTCATACAGGAAGTGACAGAAATGGGACCCTGAAGAGCTTTCTAACTATTAAAACATCTGCTAAAGTCATACAAACATGTCTGTCTTACTTCAACGGTTTGAGTTTCCTCTTTAAAAAAGGACAAAAATACAACTGGGGCCGTATTCACAAAGGATCTTAGGGCTAAAGTAGCTCCTAACTGGCGAATTTAGGAGAAACTCCTAAGCATAATGGGCGTGTCAGTCTTAAATTTAGGACTCCTAATTTTATTCACTAAGAGCAATTCACAAAGTATTTTAGGCCTAAAAGTAGCACCTAAGTTTAGGAGAGCTTAAAAGTCCTCGAGAGGACTCCTAACTCAGTAAGACCTATTCACAAAGAATCTGAAAATGGCTGGAGACGAAATGTTTTGGAGACAATGGAAGACTGTGAATTGATCAAGAGATATAGGCAAAATCGTGAGGGTATCAAACTTGTTGTGGAATTAGTGCAGGATGCAATAACATCCCCGACTAACAGGAATAACCCGATTAGTCCGGAAATAAAATGTTTGGCAACACTACGATATTTAGCAACAGGGAAAATGCAACTTTGCAATGCCGACGATTTAGGAATATCGCAACCATCAGTCAGCCGTGCCATAAACCAAACCATCAACGCGCTCTCTAGACCACATATCATCCAACAGTTTATCCGGTTTCCTTTGGACAATCAACAACTACACAGGATCAAAGCCAACTTCATGGCAATGCAGGTATGCCCGGTGTGGTCGGTGCTATTGACGGGACGCACATAAAAATAATTGCGCCATCAAAAGATGAGGACGTGTTCGTCAATAGAAAGAAAGTACATTCCATCAACACGCAGATTGTTTTCATTCATCATGATAGGGGGACTTGAACGGCGGTATGGGCTGTTATTGAAAGTGTTTAAGTGCTGGAAATATGCTCATTGGATAATAGTTTGCAGGGTGCTTTTAATTGCCTCCTTGATTTAATGCAATTTACGTATTTTTATTGTTTGCTCTCTCTCTTTAACGTGTAACAACGTCATTATCGTGGTCTGCACAAACTTGTCATCATGTGTGTATTCTGCTAACTGCACTGTCCATAACTATTTGATAGGAATACATTTCTAGCCTAGGCTATTTCCTTCGGTGATTTAGTGGGCTCGTTTGTGGGATGTTGCGGATGAGTTTCACCGAGACCGCCTACTCTGAACAACCAATCACCGTACTGACCGCTTCTAAACTCATGCACGAGAATCGACGTAATCCATAGCAACGGCGCGTCACTCTTAGTTCACTCTTAGTGATTTATCCTTAGTATGAGTAGGTCTCAGCGGCTTTGTGAATAACTTTAAAGAAAAAACTCCTACGTAAAATGTTTTAGCGCGAGTTAGGAGCACTCCTAGCGGTAAGATAAAATGCTTTGTGAATACGGCCCCTGGAGTGCATCTTCTGTGCAAAAAGCTATATCCCTAAAGTTTATACTCCATCAGTTATCATTATAGTGATTTTAACATGAAGCGTACATGTATCAGAATTAAATTAGTCTGCATGTTTTGGATGGGCCAACCGGTTGATATTAGACACGATTTGACTCGGCATATGGGATACTGTGCCAGATAATTAGAGAGAGATTAAAGTGTTTATTATTAAGTCTAGTTCGCAGACAATAACAGTCTCCTTTTCATGCTAAAACAGTCACATGCTCTGAGCAAAGTCTGGGGTTGGATTCATGAATAAAAGATTGACTTGAGAAAGTGATATTCTTGTTGACTATAATTGGACTTTAACAGCTCACTTTAATGGTCTATTCATGAACGACCACAGGCTACAATCAAACTGTATGTACTGTAGCTCCAGGGTGTAGCTGAAACTCTAGACAGCCATTTGACTACTTATACTGTTCCTCTCTTACTTCCTTCTCTGCCTCCTTTTCCTCTTTTTCACAGAGTTGTGAAACTGCACTAAAGCCTGATGTTGTCTTTGTTGCTAGGCCACTTGGTGGGGTGTACTTTGCAGAACTGGGTGTGGTTCCCCCTCATATATTACCCTCTCTGAAGGGTGTGTGTGTGTGTCTGAAAGTATCCAGATTTGGAGCAGAAGCTTACATAAACTTGCAATATTGAATGTATGATGCAATAGGCCACAGTCATGACGCCTCAAGTCATGACAAACGATGTGAGAAGCTGTTATCCGTCAAAGGTGGACACAATAATTTCATTCAAGTTGTGAGCCACTTGAGAAGAAACACAGGAGAATATATTAGAGTTATTTCCGTTGTATTATCGTGGGTAGTTGTGAGAGTTTTTACAGTGGGTGTATTTTTCAGTAACAGAGAGTCCTGTGTTTCAGCAGCAGTGTGACTCAACAGAGACCAGCCTGCTGCTGTGGTCGTTAGCTAGCTGTTAACAGGATGTGAAGTGCTCTGAGAGGAAGTCAGTAGCCATCTTAAATGTTCTAACAGGAGAACGAAAGGCCATCATTTCAAGTAAATCTCGAAATGAAAGATACTATCATTAGATCGCCACAGGATGGAGAAAGTAGGTTAGACGAAGGATACCAATCTGCTTTTATCCTTCTACCTTTCTGACAGCAGTTTCTTTCTCAGTAGCAATTGGTTTTCATGGTTCCTCCTATAACTCTTTAGTTTGGTGTTGCCCAACACTTACCTCAACGTTATAACTCTCTTTTGACCTTTGGCTTTGATATCTGCGAACAACTTCAAACAAACTTAAAGACCCATCTGTTTGAATACATTTTTCACTGATTCTGTATGTTGTTTTTGACTTGTTTTATTCCTCTCTAGTCTCTATTATATGTCTGTTGCCATATTCAATTATAAATATTATTATTATACCAGAGTTTAGTTTCTTGTTATTTATATTCATAATGATAATACATGTATTCTTATTTGATTCTGTTTTTTATGATTTTACATGTATTCCTTTTATCTGACACGTGTTTCTGTCTCATTCTGTTGCTGCTTTGACACCTGCATTTTCCTACAGGGATCAATACAGGTCCATCTTATCTAATCTTATCTTGTATTCATTTTGAGAGGCACCTCTATAAACCTTATGTTAACTAGTAACATACTGACCTACTTTTCCTTCTCTTTTTAAAGGTACAAACCACTTTTTGGACAACAATTCCAACCAGGAGGTCGGCCCAGATTCATCCCCAGATGTTGATTCGCTGAACAACCTCAGCAACTCCACAACCAACAACCGCAGCTTCGGTTTGGACCAGAACCTCAACCTGACCCTCAGCAACAAACCCAGCCCTGGAGGGGTCCATCAGCCCCAGCCTCCAGCCCTCCGGCCCCCATCACTGTCCGTCCTCTCCTCTCTGAACAAACCCGACCCCTCGGAGGTGGACGACGTGGCCCCGGCGGTGTCTGACTCCAGCACGGACTCCAACTCCACCCCCAGTCATGACATTTGTGTGGATCCTGATTTGCTTAACGGCAACCTGAACTCCAACTCAAAACTGACCTGTGAGAGCAACGGCACAGTAATCACGTGAGTAAAAGACTCGTTAAAAAATACACAAAGGTCTCTTCAGTTTGACTTCAGGCTGAAACTGAACTGATATGACTCACTGATTTTCAGGCTGAACAAACAGTGCTCTCTCTTTTATGGCCGTAGTAGGGAACGGTAATGAATGCTCTCTATTGTTCACGATGAACCTGGAGGGATCGAAGTGTTCCCATTTTAATCAACTATGTTTGCCTGTTGTGCTTCTTCTAAAGTTAACTCAGCATCTGTGTCTCTCCTGCACATCCTTTCATCCCTCATCACCGTTATTATACTTTTTTTTATTGCTTGTAGTTGTGATTTTATTTTAGGATTTCAGTTCACTTGAATTTTTTTCAGTAGGATTTTTTTTTTTACTATTCCACAAAATAAGGTTTGAAGCCGTTTTTAATGTTTAGTGTATTTTTAACACATATTTTGTGTTTTCTGAGATATTCTCTGAGTTGTAACGAGGAGTGTCTCTCGACGCCCTCTGGTGGTGTTTTCATGTTACTGCAAATGATGAATCCTGATCACATTAAATTGTTTATGTCTTTCTTCAAGTTCAGCGTTGTGCACAGAGATAATCAGATTTGACCTCAGTACTTATATCAAAAACATTTACCTTGAGATTCCACGATATTTGTATCATATATTTCTTTGTTAAAACGGCTGGTTTGAAATGAGACACAATACTTTTATAGGAACAGGGGGACAGAATGTATTGTATATACAGTTTTATTTATTGACCTTATATACAGTCAGGTCATCCTTATTTGGAGGGTTTGCCTGCACTCATTTCTTACTGAGCCCATTCGCATCACGCCTCTTGATTGATACTTTAAAATATGAAAGCCCGGGAAATACTTGCTTACTACATTTTAGTTAGTTAAGTGGTAATAGAAGATTTACATTTTAATTTTAAATATTCTAGTCTTTTATTTACTGAACTATAATAACCCTGCACTCACCTTATGTTTAACCTAACCCCTATCCCGTCCTCTCCTTTGTCTTTCCTTCCTTTTCCTTCCAAACTTTCATTCTGTTTCCCTTCGCTCTGTGTGGCATCAGGACTTCTGAGCAAGTCCATTTCCTCTGTGTTCTGTTGTAAGTACTGTGTATGCAGACGTGTGTGTGTTTGAACGTCAGTTCTTGCTGTTCTTAATAAGTCCAGTGCCAGGCTTGCTCCACGAGCTGATGTGGAAACAACCTGACCTTCACAAAGAAGTTCAAAAAAAGGCAGGAGTAGAATTAGAAAGTAGAGAGAGGGTTACCGGAAATCCTGTAATTCCCTCTAACTCTCTGAACAAAGGTCCTTGCTCTTATTTCAATTTGGCAACAATCTCTTTCATTGATCTGCTTTTAATTCTGCGTAATTCAGCACTTTAAGCAGAGCATGCGAGCTCAGCGCACTCCCAGCAGAGCCATGAGGCTGTAAGGCTTTCAGTCTCCTGCTTCGACT